CTAACCACACCATCAAACATCTTAATTATAATATTCTCTATTCTAATATCTTTGCAGGATGCATCGTTACCCATCAAAACAGAACTAGAATTTACTGACCTGTAGGTGTCAAACCAATCTTTGTTGGGAGTCATGTGATAGGAACATGTTGAATCCATAATCTAGGAATCTATTAGACAATCTGAACCAGATGAAACAGAAAGCATATCACCGTCAACACTCTCTGAATCTTCTTTTTTCACTACGTTTATAGAATTTGATAGACCCTCTTTGTCCTCTGAATCCCCTTTCTTTTTCTCTGGACAGTCCTTTTTAAAGTGCCCCTTTTTCCCGCACTTGTAACACGAGATGGAGACGTACTTCTTCTTCCTCGACTTGGACTAGGCTTTATTGTTACCCGATCCATTCTGAGATTTGCTTCTTCCACGTTCCTGGTTACCTTTCACCACAAGTCCTTCACCTTGTGAAGCCTCATTACTAGTTTTCTTCCGCTGATGAAAACCTAACAGAGCACCTGTGACATCCTCCAACTCGAGGGTTTTTTTCCCCCACATCAGAGTCGTAACCAAATTCTCGTACGTAAGAGACGCCGGTAGGGAATTCAGCAACATCAACGCCTTGCCTTCGTCTTCGAACTTCACATCAACTCGTTTCAGATCGCTGATGATCTGATTAAACACANTACAGACCAAATGTTCCTCTCCAGGGAGACTGAACCCTTCTGGCTGTACCATGTAAATCCGTTCCTCCAAGTCGCCATGAAGGAAAGTTGTTTTTACATCCATCTGCTCCAACTGCATATCTGAATGTGCTACTAGTGCCAACACTGTCCTGATGGAAGTGTGTCTGACCACGGGGGAGAAGATCTCATCATAGTCAACCCCTTTTCTCTGTAAGTAACCCTTTGCTACTAGACGAGCCTTGAATTTTTTCCCCTCCTTTTCTGATACTGCTTCTTTTTTCTTATACACCCATTTGCACCCTATCGCTCTCTTCCCCTCGGGAAGCTCCACCAACTCTCATATTTGGTTCTTATGCATAGATTCCATCTCCTCCACCATAGCACCCATCCATCTACTTTTCTCTTGGCTTTGTACTGCCTCCTGAAAAGTTGTAGGATTCCTGTTACTAGTAATAAGTGCATAAGAAACCAAATCTTCAAAACCATACCTAGTAGGCGGCTTGATATTGCTTTTGGGTCTGTCTATGGCTATATTGTGATGTTGTTGATCACCTGAGATAGAACTCTCTACATGCTGAGCATCATCTTCTCTGCCATGGTTCTCTAGCTCCACCTGCACCACATGCTCATTAGTGCTACAGTTTTCTGGCACTTGTTTCTCTTCTTCCTGAGTACGCTGCAACATGGCTTTTCACCCCTTTCTGATATCCTAGAAAGATACACTATCTAGACTTCACATCAAGTTTCGATCTCTCCTCACTAGAAACATGTACATAGGTTGGACATCCAAACACTCTCAAACCAGAGTAGTCTACCTCACTGCCTGTCCANTCACCCTCCTCTACCATAATCCAAAATTCTCAGTGCCGACATCTGCCTCCTTGTCATTGTGCACACAGCAAATATGAGCCACACATAATCTAAAACATACTGATGATGGTTGATTTTTCCGACCCACTTTTGCCAACCAATGCAACAGTTGTTCCAGATTTAATTTCAAGGCTTAATCCGCATAGTATAATTTCCTTGGGCCTTGCTGGATATGCAAAATAATGTTGTTGAGTTTTATGTCTCCCTTTTTCTTTTCTAGCTTAATCCCATCAGAATCATCTAGCTCCATCTTATTTTTTCTTTTCAAGATCATGAAAATTGATTTCACTACATCAGTGCCCTTTGATAGATCTGACGTCATACTTCCAGGTTTTGATATTACTCTCCCACAAGTCACCAATATGAAAAACGTCTGAAACAGGTGCCTGTATGTGATCTCATCATGGTACAACAATTTTTCTCCATACCAGAAAATTAACCCAGCGTTAGCAGCAGTTAGAAACTGTGACAAAAATAAACCCAACCCTGTATACCAAGATTGGTTTTTGCTCTCTCTTTTAGGATCTTTCAGTGTAGCCTCGAAAAGCGTCATGATTTTTTCCTCAGCAGAAAAAGCTGCAATTGTCCTATGATTCCTAACAGCCTCACTTGCTAAGCCACTGCTCCTATTTTGGGATTTTAAGACTTCCTTTGACATTCTCTTCACGAGGACCACTCTAGCATAAAAGGAGCCAATGATGAGTGGTTGCAAAGCGACAACTAGAATTGCAAGTCTCCAGGCCAGTGATACACCCAGTATAACTGCTAAAATGGTTGTAAAGAGGACATGGGTCAATAATGAGAACCTATCACAAACAAGAGATCGGACCATACGTGCTTCTGTAGCTAGTCTTGAGCAAAAAGCCCCACTTGTGTTGCTTTTATGCTCAAACTATTGTATCTCAAATGTCATGATCTTTGCCAGCATTTTCTCCTGAACTCTTTTCGTTAGGTGCTCTCCTATAAACCCAATGTTGTAATGGTGAACCACGTTAGTGAATAAAGCAAAGAAAGCATTGAATAAGAAGGCAAAGCTGTATATTTTGGTTTACTTCTTGATCTTGTCATGATTATTGATAAAGTAGGTTGAAAGAAGTGCACCCATATAGAAAGAGTGAATGGACTGAATCACCCCAAAGCAAAGAGCAGCAACGCCACCTAGAATGGCCCTGTTCCCTTCAGGGGCTGCCAATTGCAAAAGATGCCATAAAGATGGAGTGTTGATATCATCTTCTTGATGTTTGTTAGTGTCTTGATGAACTAATTGAAGTTCATTTTCTGATTCCTCAGATTTGACTTCTCGAGCGTCTGTTGGGATATCACAAACATCATTACAGTCTGTTCTCACAGGAGGTTCACTATCTTCTACAGATGTTTGTTGGAGCTGCACCATACTGAAGTATTGACCATGTTCATTTTGAAGGAGGTTGGTATGAGAACCACTTTCTACTATCTGTCCCGATTGTATAACAGCTATTATGTCAGCATTACNCAGTCTGTTCTCACAGGAGGTTCACTATCTTCTACAGATGTTTGTTGGAGCTGCACCATACTGAAGTATTGACCATGTTCATTTTGAAGGAGGTTGATATGAGAACCACTTTCTACTATCTTTCCCGATTGTATAACAGCTATTATGTCAGCATTACGAAGTGTAGTGAGGCAGTGTGCAACTATAATTGTTGTCTTTCCTATGGATGCCTGATCTAGAGCATCCTGCACGGATTTCTTAGACTGAGAATCTAATGCACTGGTTGCTTCATCAAACAGCAGGATTATTGGCTTCTTCAGTAATGCCCTTGTAATTGCAATCCGTTGTTTCTGACCTCCAAACATTTGCATTCCAAATTGTCTAACCTGTTGTCAATGAAAACATTAGGCATCTCCCTATTCATGGCTTGTTCTTTTCTTGATATATTGATGCTAATGTAGGAACAACCAAAGTTCTTGTAACTTACTTGTGTATTGTAGCCATCGGGTAGTTGACAAATGAAATTGTGTGCATTGGCTGCTTTAGATGCATCAATGACCTCAGTCATTGAAGCACCTTTTTTCCCAAAAAAGATATTTTCTTTGATGGAGGTTGCAAATAGTACCNGATGCTAATGTAGGAACAACCAAAGTTCTTGTAACTTACTTGTGTATTGTAGCCATCGGGTAGTTGACAAATGAAATTGTGTGCATTAGCTGCTTTAGCTGCATCAATGACCTCAGTCATTGAAGCACCTTTTTTCCCAAAAAAGATATTTTCTTTGATGGAGGTTGCAAATAGTACCGGCTCTTGGCTAACAAGACCTGTTTGAGATCGTAACCATTTTAGCTGAAGAGTCTTTGTGTCAATCCCATCCAGAAAAATTTCTCCTTTGATGGGATCATAAAATCTTTCAATCAATGAGATTATTGTTGATTTGCCTGAACCACTGCCACCTACTAACCCCACAGTTTGACTGCCCTTCACCATTAGGTTGAAATTTTGGAGTACCAAATTCCTAGGTCTTGTGGGATAAGTAAAATCCACATCCTTGAACTCCAGTTCACCTCTAGCATCTTCAAAGATTTTGCCTCGCTGGTCCTCGAAGTCTATGATTGGCACTCGCTCGATTATGTCAACTATCAAATATGCAGAGGCTGCTGCCTCCATGAAGAACTTTACATTGGCCAGAGAACCCCCGAGTGCACTGCAAAAAAACAAGTCAGAATTTTAGCTCCTAATCTCAATTATTGTTAGACCAAGGATTCCTATTTTATATTTTAGATATTTTTGCTTTCCAGTTCGATAGGAGCTTGTTGTGTAGCAACTGATATTAACCTTTGTCTCATAGTCAAATTTGTAGAAGATTCAGTAATAAAAGGTGAATAGGATCCGTGACAAAAACCTTGCTTGAGAGTCCCAGGTGATCCAAATGGTAATTGAAGAGATGGGAAAATTTGCCATGCGACAGCCCTCTGTGTTTGGAACAGAATCCACTACATGTGATGACGGGTATCATGCTGCTTCTCATGTTAGAATAGAGGTGGGACTGCATAGGTACTAGCTTACGAGTCACTGATGATTTCAATGGATTTTCCATGAGTCTGAGGCTAAGTGAATACAGAGGTGTANCTGTGTTTGGAACAGAATCCACTACATGTGATGACGGGTATCATGCTGCTTCTCATGTTAGAATAGAGGTGGGACTGCATATGTACTAGCTTACGAGTCACTGATGATTTCAATGGATTTTCCATGAGTCTGAGGCTAAGTGAATACAGAGGTGTAGATAGTGATGAGCAATAAAACCAGGCAGCACTTTCATTCAGGTTTCCTGGCTTCCCTATTGTTGATTTTGTAACATGACCATCATGATATTATGAAATTTTTGTGTTTTATTGATTATCAGAGCATTTTTTTTTTTTTTTTGGCATCTTATTGTTAATTTACTACATCGATGATTTTTAGTATCGAGACTTACAGTCCTCCAACGATGATGCAAACTCCTGTTGTAAAAACATCCCCATCAATTGCTCCCTTCTCAATGACTAAAATGCTGACGTACCAGGCTGGGAAAGACCAGACAGCAAAAGCTATGTCAATGCTCCCAATAGCATAGCCCTTTATGTGCCCTTGTTTAATCCTAAGATCCAAACTTTTTTCTAATGTTTCCGAATAGCTTCTTTTCGTTTCGTTCTCACCACCACAAGAGTATACAGTCCTGATTGGTGAAAATGCTTGCTTTTCTATCGAGCCAGCACCTCCGTAAGATACTATAATTTTTTTCCCTATCTCAGCTAGCATCTTCCCATAAATGATTCTTGGGATGATCAATAGAGATAGTGCTGGAATGGCAACAACAGCAAGTTTCCAACAGAGGTACAAAGCTACCACCTTAGAAGAAATGAAAGTTGATACATTCATAAGGAAGTTTGGAATCTGTAATAATGAAATTATCCCTTAAAATCATGAACAAAAACATAGGAGATCCATAAGTAATAATTTGAGTGGAAGAGGTAGTAGAGATGGACCTTCTCACTGAGAACACCTTGAATAGTAAGAGAATCAGCTGAAAAACTTGCTATGATTTGATATGTGGTTGAAGTGCCATCTATCTTATCAAGGAAGCTAGCATCTTGCCTTAACACCGCCCTTAGATATTTTTTGTGCAGTCGAGAAGTTTGCCTCTCAGCAGTGCGAGCCCAACATAGTCCTTATGTTTACAAGAAAAAACACTAAAGGATGAGAGAAAACTGTTCTTTATACCATGTGAATATGTAATGGCAATCGGATTTAAATCGACAAGACTGAGTGTGAACAACTCACCTAGTAAGGCACCAAGTCCCATTGCAATGGCTACATAGATTAATTTCAAAGCATCCTGTCATCACAAACATATGAAAAGAGAATAAGCAAGTGAGCAAAACAAAAACCAACTTGTAATCTTGAAAAACATGTGAGAAAATCTGCAAACATTCATCTTTAAGAAGCCATGACCAACTTGATTGATATCATGCAGGGTATAAGAAGAGTGAACAGCATACTTATTCATCATCTTATTGAGGACCAACATGATCAGAGGCGTGGACGATCCATCAGCAAAGCAACCAAATGATCCCAGTGCCATCAAAAACATATCCTTAGAGTCAGAATACTTGAAAACTGTCTCCGAGAGCCGCCTCGGTTTCTTTATTGGTTCTCCTTTCTCTTCATTTTTCTCTTGCTCTTGGTTAGAATTTGGCTCTCCCATTTTCAAACTCCTTTGTTTAGCCTGTTGAATCACAGATGCAAGTATTTAAAGGAACAAAATATACAGTCCAGATGTTTTTGTATCTTATTTAGGTTCTTTTAACTGTGATTCCTATGCATCTATATGAATGTTCTGCTTTGTTTTACTTCAGCAGTGGCTGGCCAATTTTTTTTTTTTATGATTAAAATGTTTTTTTCTAAATTTTTGAAGGGTAAATTAGNTTTTAACTGTGATTCCTATGCATCTATATGAATGTTCTGCTTTGTTTTACTTCAGCAGTGGCTGGCCAATTTTTTTTTTTTTTATGATTAAAATGTTTTTTTCTAAATTTTTGAAGGGTAAATTATAGATTACCTCCTATGTTATTTGACCTAGTAACACTTTATCTCCTTTATATTTTCAAAATCTATGCATAACTCCCGTTATTACCCCCTATGTTACTATCATATGGTGACATATGAAGCATGGATACTTCGCCTAAGTCGGCGTACATGTATCGGGTATCATATCGGATACAATATTTATCAGATACGCATCATACGTATCTGATAATTAATAAAATATATGGATATTTCGCGGATACTTCTACACATAGAGTAAGATGCACAATTTTTAATTTTGANACATATGAAGCATGGATACTTCGCCTAAGTCGGCGTACATGTATCGGGTATCATATCAGATACAATATTTATTAGATACGCATCATACGTATTTGATAATTAATAAAATATATGGATATTTCGCAGATACTTCTACACATAGAGTAAGATGCACAATTTTTAATTTTGATCTATACCCTCTCCTTTCGAGTTCAAAAACAATGTAATACATTAAAAAAATTCTATTTAATTTTGAAGACATAAGTGTTTTTTAAGTATTATCTACTATTATATGTCAAAAGACTATACAAAGTTGAGTTAGTTACACTATAATCTTATAAACAAAATACTTGTAAACAAACCAACTAGTTAAATATTAGTTCTAATTCCTTTAATTGGTCACGTTTATAGATATAATATAATGAGATGATATTATACGTTTAATGTAAAAATTGCTAATTGTGCTTACTATTGTTATACAATTAGTATAAATTATAATTTTTAAGTCATTAAATAATAGTAAAATATAAAATTTATTTTATTATAGATGTATCATACTCTTATCCTATTTTTTTAGGTTTTGTTGTATCGTCGTATTCGTATCGTACACGTATCTCATATCCATGCTTCTTAGATGGTAACATGGTCTTTACTTTTCACTTTCTTTCCTTCTTTTTTTTTTCAGCAAGGTATATAAAAAATAATTGTATTAAGTAATACAGACTAATCTCATATAAGCAGAAAAAATACAAGATTAAACACAGAACAAAAATATTATCTGCTGTAATTACAGACTAATCTTATATTAACGGATAAAATACAACATTAAACATAGGACAAAAATATTATCTATTGTAATCCAGTGTTTAATAAGACACTGGATTAAGAGTGGGATAATAGAGTACTAAGAGCATCTTTAGCAAAAAGTTATAATAGAGAGCATCTCCAACTATACTCTCTATTCTTATCATTTTATCATTTTATGTTTTGTAATTTTTTGGCAATAAATTTGGCTTCCCTCTTTTCCTCAATTATTTTAAATGACATACATTTATCCTAAATGTCTTGGATGAAATATCCTTTTTTAAAAGATATCAATCAAGCCTAATTCTTCTTATTTTGTTTATTTTGATAGGCAAAATAGTAAATTTATAGCTTAATATGGTTCAAATGGATTATAATACCATATCTTCAGGTGGTATTATAATCTTGTACCCAAAAAAAGGTGATATTATAATCGGCTCGATAGTACGTATAAGACATATTATTCATATACGTATTTGAAATAAGTTTATATATAATATGATGTATTTTTGGCAACTAAATATAATATATGGTTGGATTAGAGAGTTTTAATTTACTATCATTTTGTAATCACCCTTTAATACTGCAACTAAACGACATTCTTTCTTTTGTTATATTATGCATTTTATCGTGGTCAAAGTCATGATATTGGTCATCGACTCGAAAAACTCCGTAACACATCGGTTGGGGCATTGCAATATCAAGCGATACGACCTAATAGAAAATGTTAAATAAGACGAGAGATTCAGGTCATATCGCGACGTTGTTGAATTGTACTGGTCGATTCGATAACGATAATTTGACGACTCAGGATTGACTCAGTCGACTCGGCCGAGTCGTGCAAGATTTGAGCGAGTCGTGCAATACTCGAACTTTATACGTATCATGTAATAATATCATTACGGAAGGTATCGAGTCAAATACGATTGACTCGGTCAATACTTTAAACCATGCATTCTATTGCTCATAAAGGGAATCATTGAAAATCGGCTGCCTTATTAGATTAATCCTTTTGAGTTACATAATCAGAAAACTGAGGATTTGTATTATTCAGGACGCAAGGCCGGTTGGCTGGGAGCCTGGGATCATTGGAATCATCCAAGGTCCGTTTGATTAATAAGAAAAAGACGATGGAAAGTGAAAGAAGTAGAAAGTAAAGTGAAAGAAAATATATTTTCATGCATGTATTTGGTTAGCATGAAAAGCTTCTAAGAAAATTTTAAAACAATCTCATTTCATTTTTTGAAAAAAAGAAAGTTATAAGAACATTTTTCTAATTGTCTAAATTATCCTTAAGTATTTTAACTCGGTCTGAAAAAGAAAAACATATTTTTTATTATTCAAATTTTAAAAAAATTGGCTCCTAACTTAATTCAAGAACAAAGATCGACTTGAACCTTAATCTTTAGACCAAATTACATGATTAGCCTACTTTGTACACAATTTTTTAAAATTAATAACTAATTGAATATTTTAAGAAAAATAAGGGTAAAATGGGAAGTTAACTTATTGAATGCAACTTTTTTGTTTTTTCTTGTATTTTTTGCAAAAAAAAAAAAAAGTTAGTTAGATGTAAGAAAATCTAAACATGAGAGAAAATTATTTTTTCTATCAATTTTTATTTCATGCTAAACAAACGCATGAAAAATTATAAAAATTTTCCTTTCTTGTATTTTTTTGCTAAACAAACGGACCCAAGGAAATTCAACTTGGCAAAACTTGAGAGAGAGAGAGAGTTTTTGTAGGCAGCTTCCTTGTTGAGGAATTCACTAATTTGCTGTCTTTATCTATGAAAGCTGATTCTTTTTTTTTTTTTTGTTTCATTTGAATGTGACTCTACTCTATTTTCAATGTATTGTGCCAGTTTATTAACGATGCTGAATTTTGGAATTATTTGGACAAAAAAGCAGCTCATTTGATTTCAATGGCGGAGCCAATAGTGGACCAGGGCCAAGCGCCTACCCTGAATTTTTTTTTAAAAATTATTACCGGTATATTTCTATTTTTTTAATATATTTCATGGTGCTTGGCCACTATATATATTTTGTATTCAATCTATCAATTTCTTGTTCTATTAAGTAGTATAGATAAATATTAATTAACTATAAATTTTCGGACACACTTTACACTTTACAGACACATCTAAACAAGTTTTTGATATGTCAAATTTATTTTTTTAAGTTATGAAAATTGTGAGGATTAAATTATATAATCAAAAAAAATGAGTTAATTATTTATATAGAGAAAGATATTCTCCATAGTATAGATATTGAATTTATCATACAAAGTTTTTAAAGTATGAAAACTTATCAAAATTAATTGTAAATAATTATAATTAGCCTCTTTTCATTAGTTTTTTTTTTGTATATATTATGCATATCGATGTTGAATCATTTTATATCTAATAAATGTTTGATTTTCAAGCAGTAAAAAAAAATGTTTTAGTATTAAATATAATATAATAAATTTTAATGTGCTATGTTATTTTTATCAAGGNAATTATCCTTAAGTATTTTAACTCGGTCTGAAAAAGAAAAACATATTTTTTATTATTCAAATTTTAAAAAAATTGGCTCCTAACTTAATTCAAGAACAAAGATCGACTTGAACCTTAATCTTTAGACCAAATTACATGATTAGCCTACTTTGTACACAATTTTTTAAAATTAATAACTAATTGAATATTTTAAGAAAAATAAGGGTAAAATGGGAAGTTAACTTATTGAATGCAACTTTTTTGTTTTTTCTTGTATTTTTTGCAAAAAAAAAAAGTTAGTTAGATGTAAGAAAATCTAAACATGAGAGAAAATTATTTTTTCTATCAATTTTTATTTCATGTTAAACAAACGCATGAAAAATTATAAAAATTTTCCTTTCTTGTATTTTTTTGCTAAACAAACGGACCCAAGGAAATTCAACTTGGCAAAACTTGAGAGAGAGAGAGAGTTTTTGTAGGCAGCTTCCTTGTTGAGGAATTCACTAATTTGCTGTCTTTATCTATGAAAGCTGATTCTTTTTTTTTTTTTTGTTTCATTTGAATGTGACTCTACTCTATTTTCAATGTATTGTGCCAGTTTATTAACGATGCTGAATTTTGGAATTATTTGGACAAAAAAGCAGCTCATTTGATTTCAATGGCGGAGCCAATAGTGGACCAGGGCCAAGCGCCTACCCTGAATTTTTTTTTAAAAATTATTACCGGTATATTTCTATTTTTTTAATATATTTCATGGTGCTTGGCCACTATATATATTTTGTATTCAATCTATCAATTTCTTGTTCTATTAAGTAGTATAGATAAATATTAATTAACTATAAATTTTTGGACACACTTTACACTTTACAGACACATCTAAACAAGTTTTTGATATGTCGAATTTATTTTTTTAAGTTATGAAAATTGTGAGGATTAAATTATATAATCAAAAAAATGAGTTAATTATTTATATAGAGAAAGATATTCTCCATAGTATAGATACTGAATTTATCATACAAAGTTTTTAAAGTATGAAAACTTATCAAAATTAATTGTAAATAATTATAATTAGCCTCTTTTCATTAGTTTTTTTTTGTATATATTATGCATATCGATGT